TACCCCAGTGTAGAGCTTAGTGGTGACGGGAGCCCAGCCGACTCCTGACTCACAGCCCATCACCCACCGCTCCTCGAGAGGACACTGAAGAGCTGAGAAAACTCCCTGCCCCACCAAGCTCTCCAGTCCAGCCATGGATAGGAAGCCTAAGTGCTGCTTCCTCTCCCTATCTGGCAGGAGGCTGCAGGGAGACTCAACCCACACAGCATGCCCCTCTCTGGCCACGGTTCCCAAAGCTGGCTATGATAAAGCCTGTGGGAATGGTGTAGGCTTCTCTGCTGCAAGGGTTCAGAATGYCAGCTGAAGGAGCTGGGAAGACACAGAGCAAGCCCTTCCCAGCCCCTGAGGCCCCAACGTCCCACCAACAGCTCTGTAAGCAGCTAGGACAGAGACATGTGATGATCACTCACCCTAACACCAACCCCCCCCTCCCCCCTGCCCCAGCAAGGGCAGCTGTCTACTCTCTGGTGCTGGAGAGATATTGAGGTTCTGCCCAGCCTTGTTCCACATCAGCTCCCATGTGATCCCACCAGACAYAGAATCACTGGGGCCCAGCTCCAAGGAAGGGGCAAGGGGGACAAGAGAGAGCATCATAGAGCACAAAGCAGCTGAAGGGCTGGGATGAGCAGAGGGGATAGACAAGGAAAAGGATCTTCCTTTGCTAGGCCTTGTCCTAGGCTGAGGTTGTTAAAGCTCCCTGTCCTTGTTGCCCTATGCACCTAAAGCGGGAAAGCAGGATTAGAAGAGAAGCTGGACAGACTGGGGAGGGAGTGTCATCTTCAGAAGAGCAGGGAAGGCAACTGTTCACACACTTGAAGCTTTCCACTCCACTCCTAGTCTTGTGGGAATGAACATCTCCTGGCATCTCTGCTCTCCTCCTTGAGGCATGCTCCCTCTGGCCCTTGCCCRGCCATCTGGAGAATAGAGTATGAGCAGTAGCCCCTGCCCGCCCTCCCATTTCCTCAGGCTGCTGCAGCCCCATAGGGCTGGCTGCCTAAGGAATCTGCAGTGTAGTGCCTACAACATGTGGCCCTAGAGGTTTCCCCAGGATTCTGGTGGGGGAAACTGGTCCACATCCCCAATTTCATTGTAGGTTTGCTCTCCCATGGTGAAGGTCAGTTTGTACCGTAGCCTCACTTTCTCCTGGAGATGGGATAAAAAGGGTAAACAGTCAGAAGCAGGGCAAGAAAGGCATGAGGTACAAACCATTCACATTTCAGACGCTATTGAGTARGGGGAACAGGGACAGGGGTAGTGAGGCTTTGCCTAAGCACCAAGACCAGCCTCTGCTCATGCCCCAGGGATGATGCTGTTACCTTCTGTGGGTTAGCGAGCAGCAGRACTTGGGTGATGGCACTGGGGTGGATGATGGGATTGAACGCTGGTAGCTCTGTGCCTGAGGGAGGCTGTAGCTTCACCTTCATTATCTAGGGAGGAAAGAGAGTGGGAGCAGAGAGGAGAGAGTGACCACACTCCTGAGAGTGACCCAGAAGCCAGAAGCTCTGCTCCTGTACTTGCAAAGCTTCCACTGTTTAAACAAAGAGGTGCAAATCTGAAGGCAACAGAACTTGCTCCCATGCCCACAGAGCTCTCTCCACCCACCCTGCCTTTCCTGCAGTAGAATCATACTTTGGCTCAGTCTGGGGACCTCAGCCCTAGCAGCTGTCTTACCTTAGGGACGGCAGACTGAAAGACAATATTGCGGATGGGCTGCGGGGCCGTACTAAGCATTGAAATCACCACCACAAGCACATCAGGTCTCTCAGGCAGGGCATCCTTAGCAAAGTGGAAGAGGACACGGAAGCCATGCTGATCATACACTGTCACAGGGAGGATGCTGCCTGTGGAAAAGGCAGCAGTCAGCCAGGAGGGTATTGGCCCCACAGCACCTTTCCACATCACCCTAACTCCATACAAGTGACGAAAACTTGACAAAATCATCATTCCTCCTCAACCTCTACAAAATCCAACAAGCAAGAAGTTTCTTCATTTTTTTTCCTTCCATGTGTGCAGGGTTTATTCCCCCCATGCCTGCCCCCCTCTTTTTCCCCAGCTCACTGGGTTTGATTGACTCCAGAGGCACAGTGATGTTGGCCAGTGAGATCTCCGGGGGCAGCGCAGTGGCAGGAGCCCGTGGTGGGACTCCAGTACTTCCTGCTGGTGTGGTGGCAGCTTTTGGAAGTGTAGCAGGGGCAGGCAGCTCTGAAGTCAGGGGCAGCGTGGGGTTAGGGGTAATACTTTGGAGTACAGGTGGAACACTGGGATCGTGGGCTGTGGTGCCAGAGCTGCTCCTGTTCTGAAGATCCCTCAGGGTGAGCCGAGGGGGTGGCTGCTGCTTCTCCCTGTAGGGAGAGAGAGAGAGYAAGGAGTGGAATGGGGCACTGAAATGCAGTGCCCAGCACCCCAGAAACAGGAACAACGGGGAGAGATGTGAGACTGCACTATCAAGTGCTTACCATCGCACTTGTTGAGATTCTGGAGGCAAAGACTGCTGCAGCAGCGTCTTGCCTAGGAGGTCCAGGTCATCCAGGCCACTGATACTAGGAGACGGTTTGGGGGAGGATGCACCGGCATCTGCTTTGACTGGTGGTGTTGCTGTGATAGGGGTGATACTGAGCTCATTGCTATCTGATGACTGTGAAGAGAGTGCAGAGAAGAGYCCCCAAGCAGGATTGCGTATCAGCACCAACCATCAGACATGGTGTGTTTCCCTACGTACATTTATTGCTTTTACCACCCTCTCCTCCCTTTGCTCTAGCTCCCTGCACATTACCTGGAAGCTGTTCCAGCCACTGCTGTCACTAGCCTGGATAGGATGTGGTGCTGGGTCATTCAGGCCTGCCAGGAGTAAAAGCCAACATGAAGCTTACCTACCAAGTGAGTAAGAGCATTAAATGTGGCCTGAATAAGACACAATAGTAGCAGGGCAGAATCACCAAAGTGTTCTCCATCTCTGGCCCCCATCCTTGCATAAAGGAGAGCCAGGAGGGTGATAACGGTTTTTTTCTGTCCACATACCCTCCTTTATAGTTTAGTTCTCCCAGCAATTAGCAGAAAAATGAATACTACTGAGCTGACAAGTCTGACTGACCATGTTGTCTACTTGATGTTGTTGTACTCAAAAGCACTTCTCTTAGGAAAGTGACACTCTGTTGTGCAATGCAGGACTCTAGAGCCTTCTAGGACCAGCACCTCACACAGTTTCATGTGTACAATTCTGAAAGTCCCATGCATSTGTTGTCAGCTCATGACCTCACCAGCAAGCAGTAAACATGAGGAGCTGGGGGTGACCCACCCTTGTGATCCCATCTGGGGATAGCCGTTGTATCACTCTTGATTTACTTGCCAGGCAAATATCTCAGTTTTCCTGGAGAAAATCAGTGGGCACATTCCTACAGGCTCTCTCTGATTATCCAGGAAAACATCATGGGACTGAAGTTCAAAATAACAGCAGGGTCTTTCCCTCCCTCTCCCTAACACTAAATGAAGGACACCTCTTTGTCTTTCATTATTCACTTCTACCAGAGCTCTCTCTTGTTCATTTTTCTGTCAAAGAAGAACCATCTATGCAGACTATCCAGAGCCAATGAATTAAGAGCTTTTGCTCTGGATTTCTCACCTAAAGACATGAGTTCATCATCCAGCAAGGAGACAGAGCCAGCTTGGTCAGGCACGGGGACTGCTGAGCCACCTGAAAGGGTGGGCAAGGCTGGGTAGGAAGGGCATGTTGCTGGAAGCTCCAGGCCAGACAGATCTACAAGTGCTGAGGTGCTGCCTGCAAAAAAAAAGAAGCTGAGAGTCAGAAACCTTATCCAGTCCTTATGTAGTGTGCTCAGCCAGTTCTCATCCTTCCTTACAGCCCCCTGCTCTCCCTTCCAGTTCCCTTTCTTTATGCACTAGTCACTTCCACAAGCCATTTTCTTATCTCACCAGCCCCACTCTGACCTCTCGCAAATTTCCCCTTTCCACTTCTCTCAGTCTTCTCTTACACTGCAGGAAACCAGCAATGGGGGCCCTCTGCTTGACCTTGCTGTCCCCATTCCTTAAGTCTCCTCACCTCGAAGGGGACCGGCCACCATCTCCCCATTGATCTCTTCTCCCCGTACAAGCTGCTTGTAGAGATTGATCACGTGTGTCAGATTGTCATTGGCTTGCAGGATCTCGGCTGAAAGTAAGTGTGAAAATAGTGAAGAGAGTAACTTTTACAACCCAAGTCTGTCTATTTCTTCAAAGCAAAGCCCAAATTACTGCAAACAAAGCCACTGCAGAGAGTTTTCACCATTGTTGCTGCAGCCTGCATCAGGCTCCATTGACATCCAGGGCAGTCTCAGYAGGAATGAGAAAGGCCAGATATGTTTACCTAGAGCTTCATCATTGTCTTCTGTGTCACTGGCGAGCCGGAAAAGCATGGGCCTCATGCGCTCACAGCGCTGATACAGCTCCTGTGGGAGATGAGAAACAGTGATGAAGTGAGCATCTTGCTGCTCAGGACTCAGCCTGGAGTACAAAACAGGCAGGAGAACAAGGGGCTAAGTGTCACCCATCTCTGCTAAGCCCAGGGAGAATTCTGGGATGGCCTTTCCTCACCTTCATTAGGTCCTCATTGCTTTCCGTTGTCTCCCCCTTGCTGTAGTTTGTCACCATCTCTGTCAGCAGCTTCACATTGTTGTTCACCTCCTCAATGGCATTCACCCTCTTGGAGATCTTCTCCATGCGCTTCTGGTCCTGGAGGGGAAGCACATGGGGAAGGATGTCTTAATTTGGAGAGAAGGAAGTTCCAGACCAGTCAACCATCCTGGACTAAAGTGCAGCAATGCTGTCCTCAAAACAGCTCCCACTTCAGTGGAAAACTCCAAGCCATCTCTGAGAAGGAACATGCCAAACATGGATGGAATTGTTGCAGATCTAGTGCTGCAGCAAGGCTTGTGCCACAGAATGGACCCAGAGCCATTCCTCCAAGTAGCCAGGGGATGGCAGAACTCACACAAACAGTCTTTTGCAGCTGCTGCAGCCAAATTTTGGGCAGAAGCTCCATATGTCTGCATACGGCCACAGAGCCACTCCTCCTCTGGTGCCAACCCTCGCCACCCAGACCATGACCCCCCCAGCTCCCCTCTTCCCCAGCCACACCTCCTGAACCATCTCCTTGATGAGCTTGTTGGCAGCCCGCAGATCCTCAGGATGGGAACTTTTCAAGAGGCGAGCCAGCGTCTGCAAAAGAGAAGGTACCTGAGAGCCCAAGCTGAGGGATGGCAGCCAGAATCACTCTTGCAACACTAGAGCCAATAGATGCCCCTGTCCCAAACCTCTGTCTGGCAGGGGCAGTGGAAAATTCAAACTGTTTAGAAAGCCCAGCCACAAGAGCTTGTGGGATATCAGAAACCAGGGAGAGGAGTACAACTGCCTGTCCTTTTCCCATTGTGGTTTTGGTTATGCAAGCTAGGTTTTACCCTGAAGATCCCCTGCATTCAAAACTGGCTCCTGCCTGCCCTTTACCTACCATGGAGATTTTGGAGTACAGCAGTACAGAGACAGAAAGCAAGCCTTGTTAATGCAAGAATTGCCATGGTATTGTAATGGACTCCTATTCAGACATCTTCACATACCTCTTTGTAGGTGCAGTTGGTGAAGAAACAGGAAGAGCTCCCACTTCCTCTCCAYAGTCAGTGAACAGTCCTACTGCCTACCAACAAATCCTCATTTGCACACTCTGACCCCTGGGGGCAAACTGTATCTCTTGCAGCAAACTAGCATCACAGTTGTGCAGAACTAGACCCAGAGGAGCCCAATGCTTGTTTAAATGTATCAGCACAGATAATGCAGAGGTTTGCATAAGTGCTGACACAATTCTGATGGAAAGACAACACAGGATGGGTCCAATTGGATATAAGTGGTTGGGCAATAAGCACATTGCAATGCTACGGGTAGGGAAGAGATAACAGCAGCAGCATCTAGGGCTGGGATTTAAACCTCATGATCAGCTAACTCAGGAGTCTAGAGAGCTCACAGCAGCAAATTTCCCAGAACCTGCATGGGCCAATGTCAGCACCCTTTGCACCATCCTGCAGCTAAGTTCTCCAATGGTCAAACAGACCCACATGCCCCATCTCTGGATGTTTCCTTTGACATGATCTGGAGCAGGTCCTCAGCATTCCAGTGACATATTTTCTGAAGGAGAGCATATGGAGCAGGGGTTTTGACTCTTTCTGAATCTCCACATCAAGGGGGCATAAGTTACTGGAGCAGGAAGATGATGCCTACTGTCCCTCTCCTTGCACAGAGCCTTTACCTTGGATTTTTCTTCATCATCGAAGATGATGTTCTTGGGTCGAGGAGGAGGTGCTGGAARTGGAGCGTCATCGGGTAGTTTTGGGTCACACTTCACAATCCCTGCAGTAGAAACCAAAGAAGAGATTAGGAGGACTCACCCCCTCAGGGATGGCACTGCCACCCAGGTCTTTTTTCCTTAATGGGCCACCAAATTCAGCCTGGACTGAGGGTGTCTGGGTTAGCGCCTGTTACCCAAGATCCTGGATTGTGTTTCCATTCCCCATAAATATTCTCTGACAAAATTCTACCATCTACTGCCAAAGCACTCACAGCCATTCAGCTCCAGACCTTTCCAGTGCTCCATCTCCTATCTGAGCAAGCAGATGTGCCCTCCAACCCAGCAACTCATCACCAGCAACTCCCTCTGCTCAGCCAGGGGCCCCAAGGCACCTGCTCCTTCTCCTGACCCTGGTGCTGAATCAGACTGATAGATGCCCTGGGTCTGGGCACGGGGAAGGGAAAGCTTGTTTCAGATCTTGCCCAGACAAAAAATGAGGGAGGACAAACCACCTGTCCACCTTTCCCTTCCAGACCACTGCCTCTCACCTTGTTTCTTCAGCATCTGGTAGGCTTCTGAGATCTTCACCTCATGAGGCAGCCCTAATGTCCAGCTRTACATCAGCTCCAGGATTTTTGACTTCACTTTTTCTGATGTCCGGCTGCCAAGATACTAGAGGAAAAGAGGTGGCTTGAAGATGATCTGAGTTGTTGCAAGTCTAGCCTGTTCCTCTCCTCACCCTCCCAGAAGAAGTGAGACCGTTCCCAACGGCACAAGAAGGAAAGAGGAAGCAAGCAGGAAAGCTCATGAGGGCCTTGCAACCTATCCTATCCTGTGTCTGCTTTCCACCACAGGAAAAAACAAGAGGTGTGAGAAATGCTGCAGTAGCAGCTCCTCAGCGACACACAAGAACAGGTGGGAAGGCTCAGGCAGGTCTCCTGTCACCTTGTCAATGCAAGGTCCTGCAAAAAGAAGCTGTTCAGTGAGGGAACCCTTTAGAAATGAGGGTACAGCAGGGCTGGGAGAGGGACGTGGGCAAYGGTCTCTGAGGCAGGGCCCAGAGCAAGGTGAGCATGGTGAGCCCGAGATGACCAGCACCCACCGGGTGCCATGCAGTCATCATTCAGCCTTCTCACACAGGTCTTCTGGGAGAACTGGTGGTAGAAACAGTGCATGTGCCATCAGAGGCAAGTGGCTTAAGGCAGAGGACATACTCTGGAGTGCCAAGCAAGAGGACTTTAGGATGCTGCTGTCAATGTCCCTGGCTATTCATCATCACAGATCATAAGCTGTGAGTGGCAGACAAAGGTTTTCCTTAGTCATATTTAGTCTGTGTTCCCTTAACTCTACACTTGCTGGTGTTCACTGCCTTGACTGAATAGGGGAGCCTGCACAGCTTGTTCTGCTGCAGGAGCAGTAGCATACGCAGAGGAGCAGGTAATGACTTGGTCCTTCAGATGGACTCACCAGAACACCACTGACCAAGCTTGGGCTTGCCYTCCAAGAGTGTCTCAATCAGGTTGGGACACCCTAGAGAGACATGGCCATGACATAGCTGGGGGAGGTTCCTGAGCACATGCAGCACAGACAGAGCGCAACAGGGATACGGGAAAGGTGACTCCAGACATGCAGTGGAGCTCAGAGGTCTAACAAGTGTTGGCTGAATCATGTCAAGCTTATCCTCAAAACTCAMCTTCCCACCAGAAAACTCATTGGGAAACAAGATCTTCTCTATTAGTAGATCTTTTATCAACACTGTCTTGTTTCCYCCACATCCCAATGGGTATCTGACCTTTCTGCTCAGCCACCACTTTTTTTCCAAAGCCCGCCTGCCACCAGGCACCAGTACCTTCCAGCATGATGCCCTGAAACCCACCTTGGGGGACACCACCTTGATGAGTTCATTGAGGAAGCGGAACTTGCCCACCTCATCATGGAAGCGTTTGCCACAGCTCTTCATGCAGGACTCCAGCACCTGGGGAAAGAGGCCAGGTGAGTCGCAGCATGCAGGCAGCAGCAGGATCAGGAGCCAGCTCCCTCCTGCTTCCCCCTCACCAGGTACAGAGCCTGTGGCTATTGTCACAGAAGCACAGAGCGACATCCCCTTTTCCCTCCCAGGTGGTCAAGCACCCTCCCACAGGAAAGCCAGTTTTGGGACCAGTTTTGGCAGAGATGCCTCAACAGCCCATAAAAAGGAACACCCTCAGAGAGGTCACAAACAACATGGTTTCAAAGTGGGGATCCACAACATGATTAAGAACCATAGAATCCTTTAGGTTGGAAAATACCATCAAGATCATRGAGTCCCACCATTAACCCAGTACTGCCAAGACCACCACAAGAAAAGCCAGCAGGTTTCCTATCAACTTTAATAGGCTATGATCCTTCTAGGAACAAAATTTTCCCAAGTAACCTCTCCTGACTTGTGGAACCACCTTCAGTCCCTCTCCTATCCAAGGGCCCAGGTGCTCTTGGGCTTTCTTAGAGGGAATTCAAAGCTTCCCATGCTTCTCCAGTCAAGCTGGAGCATCTCCACGCCCCGCCCCTCCATCTAGTTCTACCAGCCTGCAAATGCCCTTACCGTGAGGGCCTGGATAGCTTCCCATTCCTGTGGAGACTGGATCTTGTGGGCAAGAAGTCTGGTGGCAAGTGGAGGACTGGAAGGAGTGAGGGGAAAAGAAAAGCTCGCCGGTTATCGACAAAAAGCCTGGTACTTGTATTTCTGTCTGGGAACCCAGGGTTGAAAAACATGTTGCAAGCTGAAGATGCTGGTAAGGCACCAAGACACCTCAGTACCATGAGGGAACCTTCCATTAGTGGACCAGGACCCCCCACCTACACCACCTTGAAGGCCTTCATGCCTATTCAGCTCTTGGGACAATCCCACTGGATTTTACTGGGTGGGGAATCATAACCAGGCCTGTGACCTGCAGAAGCCTGAGGAAAGGACAAAGCACTTACCCCTCTAGCTCCTTATTGAGCTGCTCACAAAACGCATTTATACCATCCCAGTCCAGGTCCTTGTTCAGGGGGTTTGTGGCTTTGTCTGTGGGCGGCAGGAGAGGATGGTGACAAAAAAATCAAACAGGTTCCCACCCCGTGAAGGGACAAAGTTGATCCGACTTCCTCCCTGCCAACTCCAGCGGGTAGAGTGGCAGTGGATAGCATGGGAGAAACACACTCGTGTCCACTCGCCCCTTCCCATGGCAGCCCTGTGAACCAACTCTCGCCCTCTCATCCCTGCTGATGCACCGTATCCCTGTCACTGGCTCAACCCTGGGGTGTCTCCCGTAAACTCCAAGTGCGCTCGCAGCCACGACCACCACGACTCCCAACCCCTCTCCCTCACACCCCTGCGCCCCACCACGCCCGCCCCTTTCTGCCCCATTGGGAGGGGAGCGGTGCTCGCAGCCGCACTCACTGATGCGCGCCTCCAGCGTCTCGGGCTCCATGTCGGCAGCCCGCGGCTCCTCACCGGGACAGCGCCGCTCCTCCGCCGCCGCCCTGCCGCCGGRCCCGGCGCGGCCGCGCCATGGAGAGTCCCGATCCCTTTGGACACAGAGACCCGGAAGTCGSCCGTGCAGAGCGCCGCTCCGGCGCCAGCGCGCCCCCTGCTGGCGCACACCCCCTCCCCACCATGAGCTCACCGCGCAGGGCAAGGAAAGGCGCGGGATGCCGAAGGAAAGGGAAGGCCCRCCCGGAGAAGGACACCGGGCAATCGAGCGCGGGGCGGGGCAGMGCGCCGGAAAACAGACGCCGCACGGAAACCGGCCGAGCCGGCCCTTCCCGGAAGAACCCGCGTACTGGCAGGTGAAGCTACTTCCGGTAAGGAGAACGGGCACTTCCGGCTGCGGGCGAGCGGCGTGTCCTTTGAAAGGACACAGGCCCGCCGGGTGTGGCGGGGCCCGCCTGGGCCGGGGAGTCGAGCGGGGGTCGCGTGCTGGCCATTAATAAATAGGAATGGCAGTAAGTGCGGTYCCCTGCACTCATCTTCAAATAGCAGYTGAGCTGGCAGCGCCCGGCCTGGCCCTTCTGTGTGGCTTTTTCTGAGCAGCGTGTGGGGCGGGCAGGGTGGGGGGGGGGGTGGTTGGTGAAGCTCTGGAAATCGCTGGAGCGTTCCAGGAAAACAAACTGTCCTCGCTTTCCGTGTGGCTCTGGTAATCTAGGCCAGCGCAACTGTGACACCTAATACGGCCTGTTCTGTTGGGGCTGCAAAGGTCCTGGCAGGAGCAGCAAGGCGTCTTGCCGACTCGCCCTTTATATTGTTTGCTTTCCTGCTGCTCGGACCACGAGTGAGCGCTGGGAGCTCTGGGGAGCGCAGGCTYCCGTCTGTCTGAGGGGTGCCCGGTGAGGCTGTCAGCAGCGGAGTTTGAGGCAGGGACTGGCCCTGCGGCAGAACCTCGACGGTAAGAGCACAATGTAGCCCATTCGGCATTCCAGCCTCTGATGTGGAGACAGGCGTCTGAGCCGGAGCCGTCCCGTGCTGGGTTACTCATTTACAGTGCTAATCCCATGGCTGACGAGGAAACTGCCCTGTTGTCACACCTAATGGCTTTTCCTTATGGATGGCTATTGTTTTGGTGAGGGCTTTTTGGTCATTAAACAGCACTTTTTGGCGCTTGAATGTAGGTCTCTTTTTAACTGTTACTGCCTTGCATCACAAAGCCCTTTTAAAATGCCTTTCATAAAAAATTGCAACATCCTTCCCTTTGCTGTGCTCAGGCACGTTTTACACAGGTTATTTTAAGCTTATGAGTCAGTCCTGCCTGTCACTACTCCTTTGATTTTTCTGAGAATCCTGAAGTCATCCTTGGAGCCCTCCAGGTCATGTACGATCTGCATAGAAGGCACGCATCACTATCCCCCAAGGCGATGCCTCTGAATGAGAGGTTTTGCATGCTGGTGTTTTACACAGTCGCTTTTTACTCAGGTTTCGGTCTGTCTGAGTCTCAAGCTTGTTTGTTTTCCTTTATTTGGCAACACCCAGTGGTTAGAAAGTCCAGTGGAAGGCTGCACCTCTTTACGGCTGGTTGCAAACAATGGCGAGTGAAGTCGTGCGTTAAGGTCCTGTCAGCAGCGACCTTGCTTTTATTACTCAGATTTAGGAGTCTCTTTCCCCTTTGGGTACATCTGCTCTCTGTATAACAAGGACCCTAAGAGATGCCAATGGAAAAAGATTTCAGAATCTGAAGTTTTGCTCCCTGTAAGAGCAGCTAGATGATGTGTGAAGAACAACCTTTCTCCCCTCGATTTATTTTTACCGACAGCTGGAATTTTAAACTAGTTTTGGATAGAGTGAGGCGCTCCAAGTTGTAATTAACACCGCTCCAGAGGGAAAGTACTGGGGCTATAATTAGCTTTAGCTAGTTGCAGAGGAAAGTGGATGGCGTGCAAGCCAGAGGCCTGGATGAGCACAACTCATGGGGGCAGAGTKTGGTTGTGTATTCAGCAGAGAGGTGCGGTCCCAGCTTTGGCAGAGGGGTGCAGCTCCTATGTTGTCGCACCCTGCAGCAGCAGAGGGCACCAGCAGGCAGGGCAGCGTCTGCTTGATCAGCCCGGGCTCRGCAAGCGCTCCTGCTGCCTGTGCACTCGACTTGAATCCCAAACGTGCTAAGTGCTGCTCCATCGAGAAGGAAAGACGGCCCCACAGGGGTGGCCGGTCCGCCTGGGAGAGGGGTTTTCCGCCCACAAGGTAGTCTTCGGCCGGCCACAACCACCCTGTTCCCCACTCTGTGTCGCAGTTTGCCGTGTGTGTTTATGTGAGCCCTGTGATGTTTTTCAGATGTGCTTGTGTGCTCTTCCTGCTGGCTCATCAGCTCTGGACCATGACGTGAGCTTCCCTTTCCCCATCACATCACATTCCTCTTTCTTTGGCAAGGTGTTCTGACAGAGACCTTTCACTTTCCTGAAGCTTGGTACTGTAGTCTTTTATTCTTTTTTTTTTTTTTTTTTTTTTTTTTTTTTTTTTTTTTTTTTTTTTTTTTTTTTTTTTTTTTTTTTGTTTTCCTACTCTGGCCGACTCTAGCAGCCAGTTCCTGGGGGGTTGGCTCAGGTTTTTCTCTGCTACTTTCTCTTGGAACAAGCTGGGAGCGCCTCTCCTGAGAGCATCTCAGACCGTGCATCTCTTTATACAATCCTCTGGATTTGCAGCCCTGCCATTCCCTGACCTTGGCTAATCTTCCTTTTGCAATACTTTTCAGCACCTTTCCCAGCAGAGGGTTGCAATTAGAGAGGCGAGTGTAGAGTTGCCTACTTCTCTAGAGGGAGAGCAGGTTTGAGCTCCTTTCATCTAATAGGAAATGTGTCCTTCCCTTTCATATGCAGCACTTTCTTGTATGCAATCATCCACCAGGATTGCTCCCTTCCGTTTCTTTCAGCAGTTTCCCCTTCAGCTGTAGGAAGACCTGTCCCTGGTGATCAAAGGCATCCTTCTACAACTACAGGAGCAGAATGAGGAAACAGGATGCTGGATAAGGCATCAAAACACCGGCTGGCTAGATCTCTGCAATTAAACATGTCTTGAAGCAAGACTCAGGGAAATACTCAGCTGCGGTCACTGCCTCAGTTTCCCTGGTTGTTAGCATGGGGGTATAATTTCATTTTCTTCCTTTGGGGAATTGCCTTGACCTCTGTATACAAATTTTCCTTTCCACATTGGTTTTGTCATTAGAGCAACTGGCTTAGCGAGACAAGTGAAAGAAGCAAGAGTCAGAGGTGAGCTGTGCAGCTTCCTGTTTCCTTGTGTTCAACTCTTCTTTCCAAAGTCAAGGGGTGCATTGGTCCCTTGACCGAGTGGGCAGCAGTGCCCTTCTGGACAGTGTGGAGAGTGAAAGTGTCTTCTTAGTCCCTGGGGAAGGCTCAAATGGGTTTGCTGTTTACTGATAGCTTCTTTCCCAGGAAGTCCAGGGCCTGCAGGGTATGCTCTGAGAATATGGGAATTCTCTTGCTGCTGAGGAACAGTAACTGAAGCAGGCAAAGATGAAATAAAACTGATGGGACGGAAGCCCTTGTGGGACTGTGGCTTGGGGGCTGGGAGGTTTTGTTGCTGGTAAGCTGGAACCTGGACAGGAGGACTTGCCAGGTTAGAGAGTGCTGCTTAAATTTATGGGGCTGAAGTGAGCACTGAGGGCACCGAGGCCGCAAGGGGGAGCCTCGATGGAGTCATTCCCAGCACCACTTAAGAGATCAGCTCCAGACTGGAACAGATCCGTGACTGATACTGTGCACTCGATGTTCAGGAGTCGGCAGAAGCACTGGAAAAGGTGAACGGATTCACCCATTCTGGCTTTACCCCTCACTTGCTATGTTGTCGCTGGCAGATGGAAGTGGCATCATTAGAAAGCACAAGTATTGGTTAARAAAAAGTAGTTCAGGAGCCTGGATTTTGCTGAGGTAGTTTTGCCATAAAGAAGAGCAGGAGCGACGAGGAAAATCCTATTGCAAAGGCATTTTTCACAGGCACCCAAGCGTGATCTGAGCAGAAATCGGCAACATGAAACTAGGCATCCTGAGGCAAATCAGGGAGCCCAGCTGCAGCAAATCCCCAAGCCTGGATGATGAACACATCCCTGCATTGCGGTGACAAGAAAGTGTAACTTAGTGAAGCGTTTGCTGGGGATGTTTATTGTAGCAGCCCCCCAGGGAGCTCAGAGATGCAGCCGTGTGCAGCCTCTCTTTTCCAGTGTGGCTTCAGGGAGGAGGATTCCCACTGCCAAGTGCCCCAATGCTGAAAGCACGTGTACTCAGCTGTGCAGCTGGCTCAAGTGTGGCATGATGAGCTTGAATAGATGGGTTTTGGCCCAGGCTTGAAAATACCCCATTGACAGCAATCCTGTTTTGGCTGCAGTTGCCTCAGCTTCCCTAGGAAAGTCCAGTGCTGCCTTAAGTCCGGGCTGTCGTAAGTCCCAGCAGTGCTCTCCCTCCAGCCTGGCTGCTCAGTCTCTGCCACTTGGCACTACCGCCAGCTTTTGCTCTGCTTCTGCTGATGGTGAGGAGCAGCAGGGCAGAGCGATCCCAGTGCTGGGGCATGGTGGACATGTAGCTAGGGATAAAAAGAAAACTGTGACCCAAGAGGAGGAGGAGGGAGACGCTGAGTCTGCATATGCAGATTTCCCGAGGGTGGACCTGGCTTTTCATAGGCTCCTTTTTAGTCCCTTTGGCTTCAGCTGTCTTAGTGCAGCAGGAGCAGGGCTGGGCCTGAGCATTGCCTCAGGATGATGACTTACGCCATGCAGTTGTTAGCAACACCCCCTGCCCGGGTTTTGAGCAGTGCCACAGTGCCCAGGCATGGCTGGGGTCAGGGTGGGCTGGGGACTATTCCCAACAGAGCCTTGTTGCCATGCTTTTAACCCCACCTTTGGGAGCTGTGTTCTGCTCCTTGCTTTTGGGGCCAAGAGTGAAACAGCTATACCCTGTATGCCCAGGTCCCTCAGAAGGCAGGCTTTTGAAGTGTAGTCACCTGCAGCCTTTATATTTATCC